CAGTGTCTTGACAAATGCTTCTCTTACGTTTGTTTGTACGTAGACAGCAAAATGATAAAGCTACGTTAAGGGAAAGTACTAAAGAGAATGTACCTTTTGTGTTGGATATTTATAGATAATGTAGTATAAAATACAATGTAAAACATAGGTGTACGCGTACCGTTTCTTATTTATACATAATTACTATTAAAAAAAAATGGCATTTTGTAGGAATCTGAATGATTGATTTGCAAAATATCCTGGTTTTTAATGCGGTTTAATTGCCTTAAACGTATTAATTATAATGGAAAGATTTCTAATCGGGTAAACTTATTCGAAATGGAATTACGCTATTTGTATTTAGATCGAAACAGTTTTTCCTAACTTTCTCTACAAACCTTGGCCTTAATATGATACCACGTGACAAAAATCCGGGCTATTTTCCTAGCTGTCGATTGTACATTAGATAGAGAGAGACTGGGGATCGTATTTGGGGGTGAAAAACAGAAAGGATACGCAGATATAATAAATGATCGTCCTAGAAAGCTGACCAGGATGCTGCATTCCTTATTCCCGGACTTGATAAACGTCGACCAAACACGCAACATTCGATTGTTTAAGTTAGCATTCTGTTAAGTTATACCGAGATAATCAGCTTATCTCGTGCACTATTGGGTTTCTGCGTAGTGAAGATGGATGATAGAAGTAGATTATCGCTCATTCGTAAAAGATCCGACATCGATTCGTCGGAAGATAATTGAAAACCAATGTTATAGAAAAATTATTAAGGAATTCTATTGTTTAAGAACCAATTTTCTCCCTTTTCATCTACGCTATCTCTATCTAATTATCGGCTTTATTGGTCTTAAGTCTCAGGTAAATGGATTATATATTTTAAGAGATAGAATTAATATTCTAAAGAATGATTTATGTACTGTACTTAGAAACTATTGTCGGGATACTTTCATATAAATATAATCCATTGTAAATATTCTGTTAGAATCATATTTTGAAAGTTTACTCGAACGAAAATCATACAATTTTATATTCCTTATAGATAATTTAGGGAAAAATTATTCGAGATTACCAAAAATATTTTGGTTTATAATTTGGAATTACTCCAACATTTTTTTTTTTAAACCAAGGAAGCCGTGTGTCCCGGAAAATGATTTTTAAAAAGAAATAAAAAACAATTTATTTAATAATAGGTTAAGTCCGCGATTAAATCATAAAGTGAAATGCATTTGGAAAGCGTCCAAATTTAATTTGTTCTTAAAATTTTCATAAGAAAGTTATTAGGAAAGTAATCTTGTGCATACGTTTTATAACGTTTCCTCCTGAAGGAACTCGTAATATTATCAAAGATATGATTGTTAAATTGATAAAAAGATTGCCTTTTCAACAAATCTTTGAGTTTATGCTGGCAAAAATCTTAAGAATTCGAGATTATGAAACTAAATTTAAAAGTGGAAACACCAATTTTCGAATCGATCACTCCCCCCGTCTTTATCGTCAACCGCCAAAGTTGATAATCTGTCAGAGATGTCTTTATAGGAAGTGACGGATAATTGGAGCAGTTATATCAACATCCGCAATTCAATAAATTAATGTCAAAGGTTATTGATAGACTAGGATGTAATATTTTGTTTCAGGGCTTATAAGGAAAGCGGATTTTTTTTTATATTTTTGATGTAGTACGGGGGCGGGTCAAGAAATCTCAGACATCGCTTTGGGCTATAGGTTTACTTGTCGAGATAGATACACCTGTCCTACGGAACAACAACTTGCTCAAAAATGCCGCTGTTCCCTTATCCAGGACGATGAAAAATTATTTGATATTTAATATGTCAAAAATTCTTAAATTTTTCCAAATTCTTAATAATTAAAGAAAAGAAAAATCATCATTCATCACTCGATTAAATAAATATTTGCTATGCTATGTATTCCTGGAAGAAAATTTCAGTTTACCCGAAATACTAGACATTAATAAAACGATTGGACAAATCGCTTAATTAATATCGAAAGCTTACATCAGCGGGGTGATAGATTTAGTGACGTATTAGCCACAGAACTTTTGAATAATGCATGATGTTCCACCCAGTGGGATTCTGCTAATTAGATACCATTTCCGCCCAATATTTATCAGAAATAACGAGTGAAATATGAAAAGTAATTTAGTGACGTCGGGTAAAAATAACGAAATTTAATAAATATACTATTTAATAAGAATTAAAACAGATTAAATAACCTTATTTGAGATTTATGGTTCTATTTTCACTCGGCCTCATTTTTTTTCCTTTTTAATTGGTTGGAAGTAAAGGGGACTGAAAGGTTGAGAGATTAAAGTAGCCTTTTTATCTTGGTTATCCTTAGACTGATACTGGAGAAATTTTCTTGTGTTGAAAGCGTGAAGTCTGTTTTTACTATATTTGAGCCAACTTTACAGAAACTGCGTTGATTTACATAAAGAAACTTGTTTGTTAAAGACGAGCGGTTATCAGATGCGTTTGAAGAAACGGAAGAAGTTTTAATAATTCATCAACATTAAGAAAGAAATTATCAATAATCGACCTACTTATCATCTTTATCGAACTTTGTATCTTTATTAAATAAGTTGTCTAATCAATCAAGACAATTTACGTAATTCGGTTGGCTGTTGTCCATCTATCCCTTCTTATCCTTTTTTTTAATAATCAGGATAAAGTCTGAGAAAGTAGATCAAGTGTTTTCTCACGAGGGTGAAATATCTTCTTTGCTTCTCCTCCTTCGCAAGAGGCGGGTCTCATCTTCGTAGGACCGATCAGTTATTATCCTCGGGGTAAACATGACAGATGACCGTAGAAGAATTTAGAGCATATCTCTCCATAAATAATAAGAAAATGGGTTTGAAGGAAGGTTCGACTCCCTGGGTGTAGAAGAAGAGAAATATGGTTGATGTGGAAATCCTGCTGAGAAGCGTTATCAGTCAAGATTCCTACCTGTTGTCTTTCTCCTGTCAGAAAATTGTCCGTCTTTGTCTTTGGATGATTTATTTTCTTCGTCTTCAATTTTTCACTTATGAAATGATTAGCTGGATTATTTTACTATTAAATGCTTTAAATGGGACTTTTTAGGTCAGGCGTTGATGCTGGGTGGCAACGAAACAGCCTTATTGTCGTAACTCGAGTTAAATCTCATTAGACTTTTCATTATCCTTTCAACTATAAACCGAGTCGACATTCGGGACATTTATTAATTTTATTATTCAATTACGAATATATATAATGGACAATGGACGGCGCATAGAAATTAAAAATTATGAATAGATAATATTCATTTCATTTTAAATGAAAAAAACAAGTCGTGCTTATGTAGGTTTATATTAAAAGAAAAAAAAATTCACGAATAAAATTATGCTATAATTTTACCTGTATAGCCATTGTAGACGGATTTATTCATTTTTAAAGACCTAGTTTAACGTGGAAATTTTTGTCACAACCGATGATTAACCTGTTTACTTTTATTAGCTTGTTTGTCACATAATGTCTCAAAATTTGTCCTTGGGCACCAGAAGATTCGCGCTTGTTTGAATAACAAACCTGTCATTTGTATTCTTTCAATCATAAAAAATGAGCTGGCACTTCTGTCTTTGTATCGATGGCAGTTTGGTCGATGTAATTATAATTTATTACAGTAGAAGCAGAAAGGAATCGAAAATTAAATAATTTTTACAAAGTTTGTTTGAATCTTTCAAGATAAATTCTAATAAGTGCTTTTCTTTATTTTCTTACATTAACGTTTGAAAAACAAGCGAAGGATAATAATTTATCTTTTGCTCATAAATCAACTTAGACTACTAGAATATGCACAATATTATTTATATAGGGCACGCTAGCCTATATACCACTCTAATAGGTTTTATAACACGCAAAATCTATCAAATTGTCTGGATTTCCTTGATAAACCAAAGATTTTCGATTAGAAATAACCTGCAGAGACTTCTAAAATGATTCCATCATTCATTTAATCGTGTTTTGCATATATCATTCATAAAGTCATTATTATTATGAACATTCTCCAATTATTTATATCCTAATAAATTACTCGAATATTAAAATAAGGCCGAAAAGGCGCAGAGAAACAATCCGTAATGCTTCAGCATATATAAAATTAATGAGACGCCTATGGGCTGCTTCGTGTCGATCAACTTTTTAAGCCGTCTATTTTATTCCCGCAGCAGCAGCATTATTATTATTAATATGCTGTACATATTTTGAATTTTGAATTCAGCTTAAAGGCTCTATTTCTTTTTAAAATAAGTTAGAATAAAGTTGCAATTAGTTTGTTGTTAGAAACGGGTCTTCTATGTCTTTTCTAATTATAGGTTGTACCTTTGTCGTTAAGAGAAAGGGAAAAACCCGGAATAAATGATCGACTTACTACACTGTTAATGTAATTTTCATATTTGATTCATGTTTAAACTTAAATCAAAATTTTCAAAATGTAATCTTTTCTAAAACTTTCCTTACTGGGGAAAAACTGAAATTAAAATTCTTTGTACAGAGACAGACTTTTAATTATAGAATGAAAGAAGCTTCTTGTCCCAAACTGTATTCACATTAGGATTCCTCAAACATTAAATACGTGCAGATATATACGAAGACTTATCATAATGTTATTAGGAACATAACAATGACACCGATGTTCCCAATATCAGTGTGGTAAATCTCCGTATTGAAAGAATTCTAATGCAAAACTTGGCTTCATTCACGCCATCGGACACACTATATTAATAAATTGTAATTGATGGCTGGAATAACAAAGAAGATAAACGGTCTTTGTATAATGGCGTTGTTTTGAATTTTAAAGTGTGTGTATAGCTACAGAACTTGTTATAACGAAAGAAGACACTACTACATTCGGGACACCAAACACATTTTATTAGTAAATTGTGTTTGATGGCCCGAATATAGCAAGATCTTCTTTCATTTTATGTCAAAAATGATGCCAAGATTTGTCGATTTCGGTGAAAAACGTCTTACCTGTTGAATAATTCTTCGTGTTTGAATAACTCGATATCAAATATCAAGAAATATTTACTAATTTGATGTAAGCAAGTTGTCGAAAAGATTCATCTGTAAATAAAAATCAACTGTTTTGTAATTTAAAAAAAAA